TACTTCAGACTTGCAGTGGTGGCATCGGTGGTTGAAGATATTTTCGGAATTGGTCCTTCTATGTTTGACTGGGGTCGCGTTCGGCATAAAATATTGGAGCTCGTGTCACTGTCCAGGCAACCGCAGCCCCGTGGTCAAGCGGCCGATGCGCCTGACGACGGGGGCCCGTCACCCATGGAAGATACCGTGCAGATAGAACGTTTGAAAGCTGCAAACAAAAGGCTCAGACTTGGATATAAAAAACATCACCAATGTTTCTCCAGGAAGAAAAAGTTGGCCGTCAAACGCAAGAGTCAAGTTGAACAGTTAGAGAAAGATCGAGATGCAAAGCGGTTTCGCAAACATGATTCCGCGAGGAGCCACTTCACATTGAGGGGTGGCCTCACGCTCGCACTCAAACGGGTTCTGAGCAACGGTGGGGCCGCCTCCCTCGGCTTAGCCTTGGGGGAGGACATGCATCGAACGACCATTTGTGATAAGGATATAGATTTGCGACGGTCTCTCATGGCAGCTTCGAGAAAACACATTCGATATTGTTTGCATCGGCTTCTATTGGACGAGGCGGCCGAGGGCGACTGGAGGTGCATGCTGACGTATTCGCGCGGCGACGCCACCAACAGCCAGTGTTGGCAAAAGTCGAAGCTGCGCGTCCACGAGGTCGAGACGCATTTCATCCTCGACGGCTTCGGCGACTCGGCCGATTACGCCGCGGTGCTAGATGGCGTGGTGTCGAGGCGATCGACTGGGACCCTACTCGTGGTTGGTGAGGGCTCTGGCGAAGCAGTGTATGCGTTGAACAACGAGCAGGATCAATCGACGGGAGCGGACACGCTCGACCATGGGCTCCAAGCACTTGCTCTTCTTGATGCTGAGTCCGATGGTGATCGCGATGACGGTTCCAGGGGAGGGGATGGGGTAATAGCAGAGGAGTGAGAACATGTGAATGATGATAACAATGGGGAGGAGGAGGAGGAGGAGGAGGAGGAGGAGGAGGAGGAGGAGGAGGAGGAGGAGGAGGAGGAGGAGGAGTTAGGATGTCACCCCCCGTCCGCGCAGGTTCTGCCGCCGTCGTTGCTGCCGAGCCCGTGGCGGCGTGGTGCGACAGGCTCGACGCTTGGGGAGGGCAGAGGATTTTGCATTTGAGCGTTGGGTGCACTGATGGTGGTTCAGACGAGGTGTACAGCAGGGGGTTGAAGCGTGCAAAAGAGTGTAGGAGTGCTGTCACGTGGTCTTTCGATTGCGATTGCCACCGCCACGTTTACGCTCTCATGGTGCACGACGGTTTAGAGCTCATGGGCGCATTTGCTACCAAACAGTGCGGTTTCAAATATTATGCAACTCTTGCGAAGATGATGAATGTTTGGAGGCAGTTCGCCGCCGACCTTTGGAAATGGTGCAGGGCAGCTCACGGCGACGCAGTGGCTTCCAAGTTCTCAAAGGTTCCTCCGTCCTGCGTTTCGGAGAGGTGGGGGTCGGTGGGCGCCTGTGAGAAACACGTTCTGGGCATATCTTGGGATGTGATTCAAGATGTCTTCTTTCGGACCCTCGCGCAGAAATCAACTAAGAGACGCAAAAAGGCAAAGGCAAAAGCAAGAGCAAAAGCCGGCTTAAAAGGGCGAGGAAGAGGGAAAGCGAAACCGAAGCCAAAGCCAGCCCCAGTAGCACCAGAGCTTGGGGGTGGCAGCTCTGACGAACAAGCTGAAGATGCCGAAGCGCGCCCGCTAGCAGAGGATCCGCAGCTGGAGGCTGTAGAAGCATCCCAGAAAACATTTGCGAGATGGTCTCGCGAGGCCATGCAGGGAATAAACAACAAAGTGTTCAGATTCCTGGTTCTTGCAGGCCAGCTGTCAAGAGCCCCGCTTGACCACATGCGCAACTTTCTCATGAAAAAGGTTCCCCCCCTCGAGGTCACGCGCTTCGCGCAGCTCATATTCGGAAAGGCCGATTCGATATTGTTGGATTTACGCAAACTCATCGATGACATTGTGCCGATCACTGCCAGTTTGTGTGATCATATGCCACTGGATATGTATGTTGCGTGCGTTCATTTTGTCAAGGGGTTTGCTTGGAGTAACTGCGTAAACTTTATGAGGAGAGTCGTCAGGCCGATGCGTCAGTATCCACTTTTGTTGTTGGTGTTGGCGAAGGCCGAGCCGAGCACGGCGTGCTCGGAGAGACAGGGGATCGCTAGAGATATCTTGACCACCGACAACAACGAACTCCACATCGACGCAATTAAAATGAAATGCTTATTCAGGCCGCAACTTGAGGAGTGCGCGAGGGACGGAACTTTAGGGCGCTCGCTGTGGGTGCCGATAAGGTTGGTTTGTATGAAGCTAACTGGCAGCACGCAGGAGATGGAGGCCTTAAACAAGTTAGTGAAAATGGCTTGTGAGAGGGCACTTACTATTTCCTTGGGCTTACTTGACGCCAGGACCCCGCTGGCATCTGAACTGGAGGAGGGAAGGGGGAGGAGGACTAGGACGAGGCGTGAGGTCAATGCCTGGTGTGGGGGTGGGTGGGGTGGGGTGGGTGGGGTGGGTGGGGTGGGGTGGTGTGTGTGTGTGTGTGTGTGTGTGTGTGTGTGTGTGTGTGTGTGTGTGTGTGTGTGTGTGTGGTGTGTGTGTGTGTGTGTGTGTGTGTGTGTGGGAGGGAGTTGGGCGAGGGGGATCCAGGATGAGGGGGAGGAGGGAAACGGCGCGCCCAGCAGGATTGGCATTCGCCGCGAGGTTGGTCTCGGACATCGCAGTTGCAAGGATATGAAATGGTCTGAGATATCTGATCGTTGCGCCAGGTTGCTGGACGAGGCAACGAGCATTCACGCCGAGGGTTTGGAGTTGCACGGCAAAGGGGATTGGTTTGCGACCCCCGCGGCAGTGCCCATGCCCAAACCTCGGCGGGATGCAGAGATCGGGGCGCAGCTGTTGCCGAAGCATGCGGACTGGGTTGCTTCGCATGCTCTGGTTTGGCATCGCAAGGCCAGGGAGATCGGAGACGTCTGCGGAAAAACTGGTGCTGGGATTTAGAACCGTGGGTTCCCACAGCTTTCCCCTACCCCCTCCTCTTGGTTTCCCCGACCGCTGGGTCCTTGGGATCGTGGGTCCGTGGGTCCGTTGGGCTGTTTCCGAGCCCGTAGGTATCCGAATACGCCATGCTCTGGATCGGGATGCAGTCTGGGTTCCAGGTCCGCTGTATAAGAACACGTGCTTCTTCGTGAAATGCAGGGAGGGGGCCGATGGCCGCGTCGAGATACCCCTCGACCCGAAGGCCACGGAGGGCATGTTTACGATGGATCTGTTTGCGAAGTATGCCCCGATCCTCTGTGACAACCCAGGCGATAGCATCGAGGCCGTCTATTGCAGTATTTCGGAAGACATGCGCATCGTAGAAACACACCCCCTATTCACGATGACGAGCAATCTAGCAGTGAAGATAAACAAAGCAAAAAAAGATGTTCGAGACCTTGTGATCGACGAGGCGGCAGCTGAGCTAGATGCGATCAAGGCGGCCGAGGGCGGGGATGGCGCCCTGCCAGACATAGATAAGTTGGACCCCCTCGTTGAGCCTGCCGTTGCTGCTGCTTACGGCCACGACGAGTCGACTGCAGCTAAGATTACGGACGCGGACATGACTGAGAAATTTGCCAAAGCAATGGCTGATAATGGTTACGACGAGGCCGATGCTGGCATTTTCGGCGGTCTCGATGCAGCCAGCGCCAGTGGCAGTGGCCAGAAAGCTAGGTGCGCTGCTAATTTCGAAACTTGGAAAACCGAATTCGCAGCTTCAGTTGATATCTTAGAAGAACGGCGCAGATGGTTGCGCGATGGTGAAGGGCCTGCCCTTCGCCGAGCAGGGAAGGATCTAGCCCTAGTTCAAGTGGAGGTAGATGGCAGGGTGGAAACTGTTTTCGTGCACTGGCAAACGTCGCCGCCAGCGGAGGACAGGCTAGGGATAATTCTTCCGCTGGACGACCGTGGAGTGCCTAAGTATCAGGTCGGCGTCGATTACCCACCGAAAGTTGGTGACGCTCTTAGGCGGCAGTGGACGCCTTATGCGGGGCCTGTCGTGTTCCCTGCTGCAGGCGTGGAACGTGTCAAGGCGACAACGTATCGTTTGTAATTTATACGTATCCTCCTCATTCTCCACATTTATGTCATCATTGCTCTTGCCCTCGCCCCATCCGCCGCGGCGAGGCTACTGATCAACGGAGTCGGGTTCCTGATCCAGTTCTCCGGCTTCAGAGGATGTGGGGGGTCGCCGCCCACAGCTTGGCCGACTGCGAGGGGAAGGATGATGCCATAGGGGATTGCCTCGTTTGCAAGAGTGCCGACGGCGGGCTGTTCACATGCTGCGTTTGCTTGCTGAAGTTTCACCGCCTCTGCAACACAAATCTCGTGACTGCGTGCGCTGATCGCGCAGCAGGCGTGTTCTTTTGCAGGGTGCCGCAATTGATTTTCCGAGCTGGGGGGTCCAGGGGAATGTGTGGCCTGTGCCACCTTCGCACGGCTGAGTTGCATGCTTGAACTGCCCCCTGGCCCCCCGCCCTGCCTTGGAAAAACAAACCAATGGCCCCAAAGGCGCGGTTGCTTGTGTTTGGCGCAGGGGGGGGGGGGGGGCAAGGACAACAAACAACAACAAACGACAACAAAAACAAAGGAAAGGAAAGGAAACGTCCTCTATCCTCCAGTGGCGGCCAGACATAGCCATGACATGGAGAGCCGTCGTGTAGCTGACCAGGCGAGAATGACCAGGAGAGAAGCTCCCCCGCCATCAGTTCGAAGTCCCCTCATCATAAGTATGGCACCAAGGTAAACAGTACAAAGTCTCAGGCTCAGGCCCTGCGTAAGTCTCAAGTCCCCTCGTCATAAGTCGGAGCTATGGCTCGGTCGCCCCTGGGTCCACGATAGGTTTTAGCTCAAGCATTGGCGCCAACTGACTTACAGCGATCGCAGTATCAGTGATTCGATCTCGTCGAGCACTCGCGGACTGACTTGCCAGCCATGCCCGCTCCAGCTACCATCACCCCCCAGTTCTGGGACAAATACTTCGGCGTCGATGCGACCTGCGAGACGGCCTTCGAGGGTCTCACTGGTTCGAGGTTGTGGAAGGAGTTGCTGGTGACGTATTGCACCGAGCGCCACTCTACTCTCCAAGTCTTGGGCATGAGGACGGGCGCCGACGGGAAGTACACCCTCTTGCTCAAGAGATGCCCCGATGTCAACCCGCGGAAGCAGTGCCAGATTGTCAAGGAATACGCCAAAACTCTCATGGATAAGGGCCTCTTCTCCGAGATGCGCGGGCAGCCCATCGCAGTGGAGACGGGTGCGAGCTGCGCTGATGGCGATTGCTTGATGATCGCGGGAGCGACTTTATGCGAGGCGTGCAAGGTTGTCCCTGAGCCAAAATGTGATTTTCAGGAGTGACTCCCTACCCACCTTGAGCCAACATTGCTACGGGAGGAGAACGTAGAGGAGGAGGAAGAGGAGGGGAAGGAGGAGGAGGAGGAGGAGGAGGATCGAGTAGCGAGAAGAAGGACGACGAGGAAGATGCGGGGAGGAGGAGAAGGAGGAGGATGAGGGTGGGTGGGGAAAAAAGCAAGAGGGGTAAGCGGTGTAGGAAGATGAGGGGCGCGCGAGCCCCCCTTGTCCTTCAGGATCAGCTCCTGAAGCCATGATGTCCTTCAGGACCACATCCTGAAATCATTATGTCCTTCAGGATGGGATCCTGAAATCCTGATGTCCTTCAGGATTGGATCCTGAACTCCTGAGGTCCTTCAGGGTTGGATCCTGAAATCCTGAGGTCCTTCAGGATTGGATCCTGAAATCCGGAGGTCCTTCAGGATTGGATCCTGAAATCCTGAGGTCCTTCAGGATTGGATCCTGAAATCCTGAGGTCCTTCAGGAGTGGATCCTGAAATCCTGAGGTCCTTCAGGAGTGGATCCTGAAATCCTGATGTCCTTCAGGATTGGATCCTGAACGCCATATGCTCTTCAGGATTGGATCCTGAACTCTTGATGTCCTTCAGACGTGGATCCTGAACTTCTGATATCATTCAGTCTGATCAATTGTTATGTGAGGTTGGTCTGAACTAAGATATCATACCATGCTTTTGATGATTTTAATAAGGCCAGCATTTCAAATACTATAAAAACTCTGCCAGGTTGCCGCGGACATCGACACGACCAACGTCTACATCCAGGACATCATCAGGGATGTCATGTCCAACATCATGGTGTTTCGTCGCGACTGTCCCAAGGAAATCCAGCGCGCAGTGAAAAAGATGCACAACAAGTTTCACAGCGGGTCCGATGCCACATTCGTGGAGCTGTTCGAGCTTGTGGACGAGGCCGAGAAGACGTGGGCCGCTCGCAAAAAGGCCGCCGAGACTTTTGTCAAAGTACTGAAGGACAAGAGATGACGAGGAGTGAGGATTGAGGAAGAATGGCAAGACGAGGAAGATGATGAGGATGAGGAGAGAGTGTATGAGGAAGAGGGAGTGGAGGAGGAAGAATACACCTGGAAAGGCCTTACGGCCAGTGCCGCCGACCCTGGAGACGGAGACGTCGAGGACGACGACGACGACGACGACCTGATGGCCCTGCCACAGGCTCGGGACATGGGGCGGGGTGGAGGGAAGAGGAGGAGGAGGAGGAGGAGGACTTTTCGAAAACATGAGCCTAAACGAAAAACACGTGCGATCCTGAGTACACTCCGCACTTTACCGCTAATCTCGCACTTGATAAAAAAGGGATTCTTCGGATTTCCCTTTTTTATTTTCAAGTTCCTTTTTCCCAGCAGATCAGCCGCTCATGGAGTGTCTGGTTGAAGAGAGCTCGACTGCTAAACGAAAAACAACGACGCGTTGTCACGACGCATCGCAGTGTTTCTCCAGGTACGGCCTTTGTGGGCTGTCGTTGGTGCACGTTTCATTTCCACGTTGAGTTTATTTTGTTTCTGTCGCAATTGCCGCTTCCAGGCTGAGCGCATAACGGTGACATCGTGTCCTAAGAGCGGAGACTACCGCTACGAGAAACTCTACGAGCGCTACGTGCTCAGCCATTTCGATCAGTTCAAGACCTGGGATCACTACGACAACTGCAAGAGCTTCACCCACAAGATGCATGCGGCCAAACTCTACACCCCGTGGAAGGAGGAGATGGAGCAGCGGTGCGAGTTCCTCGACAGGGGAATCACCAACAAGCTCGTGGCCAAAGTCTGCAACACCCTGTTCCTTCGCATCATGGACTTCAGCGACGCCGTGGAACAGCACGTCTTAGAGTTAGCTTGGAGGAAGCCCTCAAGATGGTTGCTCCGATGGAGGGCGCCGACGGCTCGTGGGTGTTCCAGCGCGAGAGCGACTTGAACAATATCAAGAACCTCAGGGCGCCAATGAGCACGTCCCAGGTGTTCCTGAAAAAAGAAGCAGGGGGAGCGGTCCAACGTGAAAGCCAAGGCGGCACCCCCTGTGAAGAAGCCCAAGAAAGGCACCCAGGATGAAGCTCTCGTCCTGAACGTGCCAGCTGAGGAGATCCACGATACGGTATCCGCCGACAGCCCTAGCACTTCGAGGAACACGCTGTTCTTCGACGACTTGGTCAACGCTATCTGCCAGCCGCTGCAGCACTTGCCGATTGCGCGGTACAACGCGGAGGTGATCCGCGAGCTCTTCAAGTTCGGCTTCATTTTCTGTTTCGAAGGTGCCGTGACCATCAGGGGGGAGATGTACACCGACTGGTCGAAGGTTCGGAAGATCTTCAGGGATGACAGCATCCGCGCTCACAGGGGGGACCTCATGGTCAAGGAGTGCGAGATTGCTCATGGCGATGCCGATGCTGGTGCCGCGAGCTCTTTTGCTGGCCCCTCGGTCGGTAGCGTTCAAGCCGTCAACGACGCGTTGAGCCAGTTCGTCGGCGATGAGAAGTTCGTGCTCGGCATGTTTGCAATCGTTCGCCAGACGAAGATGCCTGATATTTTGGTGCAGCCAGCTTACTTGAACGTATCGATGAAGCTCTACCAGCAGCACGTGGAGGACGTGACGCCCAAGGGCGATGCCGCGGCCGCTCCCGTGGCCTGGACCCACGTACCGTTCCTTGAGTGCGCGCGCAGGGTGCTCAAGGATACGTTCTCGCACAGGTGGACGGAGTTCGGCACGCGCTTGCTGCCGATCGTCGAGAAGGGGGCCGACGACTCGAATATCTCCCATCTCACGGTGGGCCTTTTCGATACCAAAGCTCATGTGCGCCGCTTCTTCGGGCTTCGGGCTTCCTGCGTGATCGGCACGCTCGCGAACCTCGGCTGCATTGCCGCGCCGAGCGCCATACAGGCCCTTTACGACAACATCAGCATGATCAAGGAGCGCGACTTGGCCGTGAAAGACGATAGGTGGGTCGCCATGTGGAGCGTCGTCATCAACGCCGCGATGATCGACCCCGACCAGTTGCGCGGGAAGCTCGAGGCCATGGTGGTGGTTAAGGACCAGGCGGCCTGGTTCGGCAATGACGCCGACGCCCCGTCGTCGCTGCCGCTCTCAGACTCGTGCGGCAGCTCCCCCGCCCAGCCCGATGAGGAGCAGGCGAAGACGACGGTGGCGGAGGCGGAGGTGCCGAAGGACCAGGCGACGGAGGCGCCGAAGGGCCAGACGAAGAAGGAGGCGGAGGGGGAGGCTACGACTCCGAAGGCCAAGACCGTTGCCGATCCCGCAGCGGGCTCCTCGACGGCAGCGAGCGGTGGCAAGACGACGGGCTCGACGTCGCACGCCATGGCGAAGGTGGAGATCGAGATGACGTTGACAGCCATCGCTTCACATATGGCTTGCTCCGAGGTGGGCGCCCCCGTCTTGGCGTCCTTCATGAAGCACCTGGGGGCTTTCATTTACGACACGATCAAGATGAGCAAGCTTCCGTCAGTCGATGTGAAATCGCCGACGAAGCGGAAACTGGGCAAGAAGACGTCGAACGAATTCAAGCCAGATAAGGCACCTGCCGCGGGTGCCGCCGAGGTCTGGGGGGACTTCGCGGACGCGGGCTTGGACCTCATCAAGGCCAAGCTGGGCGAGCCCGACAGCAAGGAGAAACCAGAGCTCGTGGCCACGGAGGCTGGGGGTCGACCGATGCAACGACCCAGCTAAGCCTCTGCCCAACCAAATCAACCATCAGCGCAACCAGTCATATGTTGGTGCTTTTTGAAAACCAAAAACGGACGTGACTATATCGTTAGACGTTGTTGGTTGTTTGGGAGTGGTAGGGGTTTGGCTCGGGTCCGCGCTGGCGTCGCGCCCGTGCAGATTACGCCGTCCATCTGCTTGCACTTCTACGGGGCAGTCACCCGCGCGTTGGTGAAGGACGCGCTCCACGTGTGCTCCGCCTTCGGCATTGACTTCTACATCACGAAGGAGGGCGTCGACACTTTCCATTCGCAGCTGGGGTTTTGCCCTGCCTGGATGGTGAATGTCAAGCAGCCCAAGGAGAAGACCCTGACCGACGGATCCAAGAAGCTGGAGCCGCCGACTGTCAACCTGAACCACAAGAAGGAGACGACGTCGATGCATTACACATACTCGCACATGGGGAAGACAATGACAGTGCACATCCCTGTCACGATCCACTCCCTGGTGCCCTTCGAAGGCTTCCACGGGTTTACCGAAACATCCTCACCCGTGCCGTGATGACTGACCAGGTGACTCTCAACCAGTCGAAGCAGGCGGTGAAGAAGGGTGCTACCACCGCAAAGGGGGCGCCTGAGGAGTTCAAGGGTGCAAAACATTTGTATCGCTGAAATGGGCATCGCAGTAATCCTGGCTTTAGCTCGGCTAGTTTTTCGGTGGCGAGGTTTTTTTGGATACAGACACGGAACGGGTGCGTTGATCGACTCGTTGGCTCCGCCCTTTCCCAGACATGTAGACCTTTTCGGGCTCAGGTTGCGTTCAGCGGTTGTCATCTCCCTAGGTTGGCCTCGTCAGAGGCGGCCTCGTCGCTGTGGAATCCGCCTGTGCGTGTGGTGATTTACCTCTATCTCTCTCCGAGCGGGCCGCCCGACTTCATAAGACTTATACTTCGCTCGGTCGGCCTGCTCGGACATTTAGCTGGCCTTCGGTGCAAACCGCGCGCGCGCAGCGCAACCTGGCGGCTTGCGTTCTGACGGGGAGGGGAGGAGGAGGAGGACGACGAGGAGGAGGGGGAGGAGGAGGAGGAGGAGGAGGAGGATAAGTCAGGTCTAGCAGCTGCCCAGCCGCGCCCACGCCGTCTTCGCACATCTACAAATCGTTTCGGAGTGGTGCGAGTTGCTCACTGGAAAAATACATGTTAGCCAGCGTGGACCAAACAGTGTGTTTGGGCAATCTATGTGGTGCAACCTATGCGGTGCAATGCGGTGCAATCTACGTGGTGCTATCAATGTGATGTAATCTACGTGGTTATGAACCCAATAAGGGCAGGCACTGTTTGGGGAACAATGGTTATCCAGATCCCCTCTCCCCTTCACTGCCCTCCGTCGGCCCCCTATCAGTGAGAAGGGGGTGAGAGGTGAGAGGGGCAAGACCTCCAGACCTCAGCCAGGCCGGCCTGGGCCAGACCTCAGCCTCTCGTTCCCACCGTGAAGTTTGGGCTCAAGCATTTGCATCTACCAGTGATTTCGTTGGCCGAAGCGCCCAAGATGGCGCATCGCCCCCGCTCTCAGTCTCGCTCCCCGCGCAATGGCGATGGCAGCATGTTCGACCAGCTCAGGCGCAGGGCGGCGGGATCGGCCCAGCGGGATCAGCAGCCACACGCTCAGCCAGTGGCGGATCAGCAGCCACAACCACAGGTGCCACCACAGTTGCCGCAGCCTCAGAACGTCAGCCACATCCTCGCCGACGGCGAGGGAATCTTCTACGACTTCAAGGTCCACCCTGGAGGCCACGCCTACCCCGTCGGCCTCGGCCAAGTGCGGACGACCGTGATTCATCTTCACGACATGGTGGCAGAATTGCGGATCTGGCAAGGGGGTGCAGCAGACCGCCCGTTGTTCTTCGACGCGCACCCGTCCCACATCATTCGGAAGTATCGCAGTCTTCTGATGTGCGCGTTGTGTGGGAGGTACGTGCAGTCGGCGTGGCCTATTTGTGGTGGTGGTCGGGTTGGCTTGCGCACGCCATGCCCTGGCTACCGCAACTGCTGGGGCGTCAGGAACATGCAGAGGATCGCTCGGGGCGAGTGCCCGAAGCAGGGTGGCCGCTGGGAGGACGAGGCCGCTGCTCCAGCGGCTCCGCAGGCGCCTGCTCCAGCGGCTCCTGCTCCAGCGGCTCCAGCAGCAGCAGCAGCACCTCGCATCATCGACGTGAACGATAGCGAGGCCAGCGCCTTCGGCAGCTCGAGCAGCTCCGACAGCTTCCAGCAGGATGATTCGGATTCGGACTCCTGACCAGCCCGAAAAGTAGGAGCAGCAACACTGGCTTGCAGTTTTGTGGTCCAGCTTATGTTCAGGCCATTCGCATGTGGGAGTGCTTATGGCCAGCACACTCGTTATCAGCGCATTTCATATTTCAGTCAGTTCCGATTCCAGCTCGGTATGTACCAGCTTAGCTTCACCATCATAGTTTTTCTGCTCGGTGCTGGTTTTGTTTATAGTTTCAGCCAGTGCGTGTAAATACGCTGGCGACCACGTGCGTCTGTGAGTGTGTGCTGCGTAGCGCAGCCTTTCGCCGTTTAAAGCTCGGCTTCAGGCTGCATGCAAGCTCGACCATGTTTTGAACTTTGAAGTGTACGCGCGCTCTGATGGAAATGAAAGGGGGCGCTGAGGGACAGAGAAAGAGAGAGAGAGAGAGAGGGAGAGGATAGGGGGCTCTCTGTCCTTTGCGTTCCTCCCCCTATATCCCACGCTCCCCCCTCTCTGAGAGAGGGGGGGGGGAGAAAGAGAGAGATAGAGAGAGAGAGAGATAGAGAGATAGAAGAAGTCTACCATATAGGGAAGAGGCGAAAAAAAGGACAGGGGGCTCCTCCTCCTCCTCCTCCCTCTCTCTCGCTCTCGGTCTGCCGTCTGAAGCCGCGAGGTGGCTTCAAGGAGTCTCTCGATCAGATCAGCTTGATACATTCGCGACGCTTCGCGTATATCCGATATCCCCGTGCGCCCATCCAGAAACGATTCCACATAACAGATATACGCTCAAACCTGTCTTTAGGATTGGACCGACACTCCTTCAGAGATCACGATGCTGCTGAATCCGTGGCACTTCGTATCCCCAGAGGCCCAGCCAAGAACGATTCCACGGGGGAGGCGTGGCAAACTATGGGGGGGGGGTGACGCAACCGACGCTACTTCAGCATCCTCCTCGCCTTAACTTTTCCGATTCGCCAATTGCATTTTCATTTTCTCATCCATCATTTTCCTCTTTCCTTGCCCTCCCTCCTTCTCTCCCTCTCCTTCCTCCTCCTCCTCCTGTCCTCGTCCGCCCGCCTCCTCCTCCTCCTCTCCTCCTGGAAATCATTGAAAACGTTGTTCAGGAGCGCTGGCGCTCAGGGCTGTTTGTCTTCACTTATCCGTTGGAAATCCACTCCCCTAGGCACGGGGCGGAGTCCTCACTGGGGCGCTGGGGACGCGGGGAGGGAGGTGGGGGAGGTGTCATGAGGCCCCGTCCCCCAAGCCGATTTTGGCAACGATTTTGTAAATCCCCCGCCAGATGTTTTTTGTATGTTCTGTTTTTTGGTTGAGATTTTTTCATCAGCTGCTGTCGCGTTGCCGACGTGCATCCCAAGTTGGGCATCTGCGTTGCGTGCTGTGCCGCGTGCGCGGTGCAGCGCGGGTTGTGCCGTTCGCGCGGCGCCCCGCGGTCGGCGCCGAGGTTGTGGCGTTTCCTCGCGGCGCCGCACGCGAGGTACCGCGAACGCACCGCCGCTTCTGCAGCCGACGTTGAATTTGTGGTGTCGTGTGCCTGGAGTTGCGGGCGCGGTGTTGCGCGGTGCTTTTTTTGCGTGCGCGTGCGTGCCTTGCGCGCGGTGCACAGTTCGATGCGCGTCGTGCTGCGTGCCGGCGCGGTACCGTGCAAATAGCGCCACGTACGTGCTGCCGCGCGAGGTGCCCGGTGTTTGCGCACGGTGCCGCGTGCGCGGCGCCGTGTGCGCGGCCTGCGTGGTGCCGCGTGCGTGGCGTTGCGTTGCTGGTGCCGCTCACGGGACCTCCGGTCTGTGCGTGTATGAGGTCTTGCCCAAGCGCGCCGCGCCGCGCCATGCGCGGCACGTTGCGCGGGTCGGGTTGTTCGCGTCGCGGAGGTCTCCCGCCATGCGCGTGCAAAGTACACGGAGAGAGCGGGAGAGGATGAGAGGAGAAACGAAGGGGGGAAACCAGGGAGGAAAGGGGGGTCATGCGAGATGGTAGGCGGAAGGGAGGGAAGAGCGGGGGAGTGATGGGGCGGCAAGGGGGGGAGGTGTTTGGAGTAGGGGCAATCGTGCGAGTGCGACAATTGTTAGCACCCCAGTCGCGAGTGGGCTGCCGGCGGTGCGTTAAGGCCGGGCTCTGGGATGAAATTATCCCGGCAAAGCAACCTAACAGCGATGTGTATAAGCATATCTGGAAGCATTCCCCTTGAGATTCAGGTGATAATCCAGTTGTAGAATTCTGCTGTTCTCGCAGTCGCAGTCGCATTCGCAATGACAGTCGCAGTGGCAACGGCCTTAGGACCCAATGGAATCTGAAGAATTCCTAAGGATTCCTGAGGATGCTTAACTATGCCTACGGATTCCTAAGGATGCCTACGGCTTCCTAAGGATTCCTAGGGATTCCTAAGGATTCGTATGGATTCCTACGGATGCTTCAACGTGCCTCAGTTTCAGCCTCAGCCTCAGCCTGCCTCGGCTCGCCTCAGCCTCAGCCTCAGCCTGCCTCGGCCTCAGCCTCAGCCTGCCTCAGCCTCTCAGCTCGGCCCAGCCTGCCTCAGCCTCAGCCTCAGCCTCAGCCTCAGCCTGCCTCGGCTTGCCTCAGCCTCAGCCTCAGCCTGCCTTGGCCTCAGCCTCAGCCTCAGCCTGCCTCAGCCTCAGCCTCAGCCTTCCTCAGCCTCAGCCTGCCTCATCCTCAGCCTCAGCCTGCCTCGGCCTCAGCGTGCGTCAGCCTCAGCCTCAGCCTGCCTCAGCCTCAGCCTGCCTCGGCTTGCCTCAGCCTCAGCCTCAGCCTGCCTCGGCCTCAGCCTGTCTCAGCCTCAGCCTGCCTCAGCCTCCCCTCCTCCCCTTCCCCCCCCCCATTCAGCCTCACCTTGTCTCAGCTTCGGCCTGCCCCGGCTTCATCCTCAGCCGTAGCCTCAGTATCAGCCTCAGCCTGTCTCGGCCTGAGCGTGCCTCGGCCTCAGCCTCAGCCTGCCTCAGCCTCAGGCTGCCTCAGCCTCAGCCTCAGCCTGCCTCAGCCCCAGCCTGCCTCAGCATCAGCCTCAGCCTCAGCCTCAGCCTGCCTCGGCTTGCCTCGGCCTCAGCCTCAGCCTGCCTTGGCCTCAGCCTCAGCCTCAGCCTGCCTCAGCCTCAGCCTCAGCCTTCCCAGCCTCAGCCTGCCTCATCCTCAGCCTCAGCCTGCCTCGGCCTCAGCCTGCGTCAGCCTCAGCCTCAGCCTGCCTCAGCCTCAGCCTGCCTCAGCCTCAGCCTCAGCCTGCCTCGACGTGCCTCAGCCTCAGCCTCAGCCTGCCTCGGCCTCAGCCTGCCTCGGCCTCAGCCTGCCTCAGCTCGGGCATTCAAAATATGGTACAGGACTTGTCTTCAGGGAGCACGAAGATCACGAAGTGGCCCACGGTTGGCTCTGGGCAATCAAAATATGCTGCAGGA